GGATCCATTCCAACAGAAATGATCTAGGGCCACACAAGGAACAGTGGGAAGCATTTTTCGGTTTTTCTTACACTCCATCTGGGACCAAGATGAGGTGACCTCTTTCCTCCACGCACACCTTTGCCACCCCCAGAGAAAAACCACTGCCTCTAGAGCATCAACCTCACATTCACACATTTTTTTACACACACACACCAACAGCCAAATAACCTGCTAGTGAGGCAGAAATTAAGAGCAATGGTTTTCAGGCTCTGGGGCTGTCCTAAGAGTTAATCTCATTTCCCCAGCCTTCTAGTGTATTTATGAAAAGTTGATTTTTATCAGCTAATTAGTCCTTAGGAAATCACTTGTACTTCCTCTAATCACTCTACTCTTTTGAAAACATTGATCTAGAAAAGAATACTTCAAGGGGAAAAGGGGGCCATTGTATTTTAAAGCAACTCTCTGTGTTTGGTATGGAGACCATGATGGTAAAGATGTTATCACGCCCTCTCTTCCAGCCTAAGATTTGTTAGTCATTCAGGAGGCTGATAGTATTCACAAATTTGCAACTTAAGTGAATGAGTGAGGTTTCTTTTCTTTTCCCAATAAAAACAATCAACTGAAATCAACATTTTAAAAAAAAACTGTTATTGGAGGGCCAACATTTTGGCATAGTGGTTAAAACTGCTATCCGCAAAGCTCACATGCTGGATCCAGGCTGCTCCATTTCCAATACAGTTGCCTGTTAATGGCCTGGAAAAAGGACCCAATATACCCAAGAGAGGACCCAAGTGCTTGGGCCTCTGCACCTAGGAAACCTGAAAGAAGCTCCTGGCTCCTGGTTTTGGCCTAGTTCAGCCCTCGCTGATTCAGCCATTTTGGGAGCAAAATCAGTGGATGGAGGCTCTCTCTGTCTCTCTCTGTTGCTCTTTCAATTAAATAAAACTTAAAAAAAAATCACCCTGTTATTTATATGGGCAACACGCTAGTATCATATCATTAAGAATCCAAACAGATAAATCAGAAAAATTATCTCACACTGATTCCTACCCTGTGTAGGGTTCAAGATCTTGTTTGGCTTTGATTTGTATCCAAAGCTGTGAATATGTATAGTAGAGATGTGCACATCTAGGTACTGGCCCTGATTTCCTAGCTCTGTGTGCTCCATTTCTTACATGTTTAGTTACACACACATTCACCTGAATATGTGCACATACACACATTCATTTATGTGCACTACACATACACAGCTCAACCTGTATCAGTACACATATCTCAGGTTTCATGACTTTTTCATTCAATAATTTATTTCAAACACTAAAAACTCAAAGCATCAAGCTATTTAGTAAATTGGTCCGGATCACAGAAGGATGAGAACAGGTGTGGCCAGCTCCCCAAGGCTTCTCTGACAGCCATTTCCAGGTCCCTGCAACAGCATGCTGCTACCCCTGCCTCTGCAGCTTCGTGGCAGCATGAGGGTATTATTTTATCATTTCTCCTCTTCATCTTACCTATCCCTTTCCCTGCTTGCCCCATACTGCTACTCAGTCTCCTCAGTTACCTGGCTCTTACACAGGTTGGGCATCTGTAAAATGGTAAGTCTGAAATCTTTTCAGTGCTGCCATCACCTTCAGAAATCTTCAGAGAGGGCAATTCGGTGATGCAGTCAGCTAAGCTGCCACCTGTGACACTGGTATCTTACATATCTCACATGCATTCCAGTTCAAGTCCCGGCCACTCCACTTCTGATCCAGCTCCCTGATAACGTGCCTGGGAAAGTAGTGGAACATGGTGTAAGTGCTTGGACCCCTGCACAAGGGAGTCCTGGATGAAGCTCCTAGCTCTAGGATTCCACCGGGAGCAGCACGGGCTGTGGCAGACTTTCTGGGAGTGAAACAGTAGAAGTCTCTCTCACTCTGTGACTCTGCCTTTCAAAGAAATAGACACATCTTTTTAAAGATGTGGATTTCAAAGAACTTGGGCATTTCAAATTTTCGGATTAAGTATGTTCAACTTACATGTAATAAAGTCCATATAAATATGACAAAATCTGAAAAACTATAAAATCTCAAACAAAACCAAGTATCTTGGTTAAGGGATTTTCAACAATATCACCTCCATGTGTAAAAGATCACCTTTTTAAGGGATTTCCACCTCAACAATCTGGGATCTTTACACCTACTTCAGGGCAATGGGGACATTGTCAGAACTCTGCTCCATGAAAGTTTCACTTTCTATTTCCTTAAATTTGACCTTTCAAATAGGGAATACGTTTGCTAATGTACTGTATATGGCAAGGTGGAGGTACAATCTATGCAATGAACAGCAGGTCAAGCACCTCCACAGACTTGTAAAGAATGATGGATTCGAGTATTCAAATCACACCCACAACTGGATGCCTTTGGGTAGGAAATCCAAGTCTGGAAAATTTACAAAAATCTCTCTAGAGGTTTGAGTTTATGGTGTTTATAAAAGCAAAAACAAACCCCACAAAGCTCTAGTCTTCAAAGCTCATGTTCCAAAACAAAAACTGCACCCACATTATTTTGTATCTCTTTCTGTAGACACACTCTCACCCATGCAAGGTGGAAAATTAATCACATCATTGATAATAGGAAAGGCCATTTCCAGTGGCTTCTGGCAAGATCTGTTACAAAGGTTTCTGATGAATGGGTGAGGTTTATTCTCCTGACTCCTGCAAACAAATGTACATTTAATTTGTAATTCACTCATTGGGTGATTCAAAACAACTCACAAGGTTTCATTAAATCTTAGTTTCTTTCCCTCCTGTAGAATAATCCTAGAGAAAATAGGAAATGACAAATGGAACGGAAGCTGCTCCTCCACCCGAGCCTGGGGGAAGCGCTAGCAGAGCAGTAAAGAGTGGGTTGTCCAGCTGTGGGCGCTGCCAGCTCCCCACCAGCTCCCCGGCAGCAGGCAGAACTGCACTCCAGCACCACAGCCAGCATGGATAACTTAGGTCTGCAGCAGCCCACGCTCGTGTTCTTGACCAAACTCTCACACAAGTCAATCTATCTCCATCTACCCTTCTTCCAATATCCACACCTCAAACAATGAGAATCACAGAAAAAGCAAGAATTATTAAGAGGCTTTTCTAGGCTGCTCAACACACTGCTTTATCCTTAAAAGACAGGAAAGCTCAACCTGAAGAACCTAAAGCAAGAGCAAACAAAGTGTAAAAAAAAAAAAAAAGCAAGCCCACATACATATGTGGTATGCAGAACCATTTCCCCAAACACCTCCATTTAAGGTCTGGTATTTTAATTAAAGAACTTAGCATATCCCATTTGCCAAGTAGGAATTATTTCTAAAGAACCAAAAACACTTATGATTTCTTCATTTTAGCCCATTCCCACACATAAACACCTCTTTAAATATAGATCTCATTTGCTAACACCTTTATAGAACATATTCTGGCTGCAGGACATACAGTCCAGTTTGAAGGTAGCCATCACACCTCCGTGTTCCTTTAGGTTCCCAAGACACAAACCAAAGTGTCATAAAAGCAATTTCAAAAATCTCTGCCAAGAAAGCCACCTCCCAGGCTGCAGTTTATACTGCTCTGAGGGAGAACTGGCCAAACAGCCAACAGGGAACAAAGCTGAATTACAAATCCTGTCTTTCATTGTGACCATGTGTGTCCGCGCACACAGGCGTGCACGCGCGCGCACACACACACAATTTGGGTTATCTTTATTTAGCCTTCCAATGGCAAGCATCCCAATTACTTGAAAGCAATCAAAAGGCAATAATTAAAATTCATTTACTTTCCTATAGAAAACACCCAGAGCAAGCTGTGACAAAGCTAAGGCAACCAAGGCTCTGTGGGTTACAGTTTAATCCCTTTTAAAGTCTCATGGCATTCTGCCTTGGACATGAGGCCTATCATTAAGGAATGTTTAGCTGGGACTTCCGTTCTTTCATTTTTAATAGATTTCAAATACCCAGCTCTTCTTACTTAGACCCAAAGCTACTCCAGACTCCTTCTGGCATTTTTATACCCACACTCCAGAGATAAAACAAAGCTGGGAAGAATCTGTTGGTACAAAATGAGAAATCGAATCCATGCCTGGCTCAGGTGCTGGCTATTATAAACTATGACTAAGAGACATGAATTTCTCTATGATGCAACTCTCCAGAGAGGCAGCATTTTCTCCAGGCCTCTCTTAAACCTGCTCATTCGCCAGTGACTAATGCTCTCTAGAGCAGCCCTGTGCTGCTCAAATTTCATCAGCCATCTCTGTCCTTGATAGCTCTGGATGGACCACAAAAGCTTCCAAACCTGCTGAGGACAGCCCCAAACAATCAAGGTAACGACGGATTCCCCAGGCCGGCCCTGAAAGCCATCTTTTGAGATCCCTTCTTCATTTTATTATCTCAAGTAACAAACATTTATGACCATTCCAAAAAATAGTCTTCACTCTTGGAACAGCAAAGTCAGGTGCACTACTACAAGAGAAGTGACAGCCAATCAGGTTGCTCTGTGGCCACCTTGATCAGCTTAGAAGTAGAAATGAATTGGACAATAGGCTGGGTAAGACCATAATTAAGTGGAATTTTCCATTAACTCTTTTCTGTACCTTTAATAGAAAGAAAAACCTCAGGTTCATGATTGCATCAACAACTAGACTTACAACAAACAAAAAAGATAATGTTTAATCAACAGATGCTTGGTCCAACATGATATATTTGTATGAGTTAAACTCACTTTCACTTTGAAGGATCACCAATACACTACAGGTCAAAAGAAATGTAAGACACAATTAGGTTTGGCCAATCTTACCTGCAGAGGAGTGGAGACACTTTAGGACTCATTTCAGAAAGGAATGAAACAGGTTTTCCAGGTTAACTCCGTCTGGTCATAAAAAACTACAGCTACGTACACCACTGCCCAACTCTGCTAGTTCCAGCTGAGACGACTATCCTAGACCTGGCTGATCCACACCAAACGCGTATTTTAGAAAAAGTCCGCCAGCCAGTCCCATGAAGCTACTTACAGTTATCAGACTGGAAATCTGGGACAAACTGTTCATCATCAGGAACTTGTGCTGGAAAAGAGATTTTTGTTGTTTTAATTTTAGACGTTCAAATCTCACTGAAAAGCACAGTGAAATGCTTGAAGACGGAAAACAATAGCCAAGGAACTTGCCTTCAGCCAACCAAGCCTCTTGAAGTTGACTGAGATCTTGAAACAACTCTGCAATTAAAAACAAAAGACACCAGAATGAGAATGCTTCTACTGCTGGGGAGAAGAGGGCAGGGGAGCAGGGCTGGAAGAAGCCACAACCCAGGAGAGGAATGCTTCGCTACCTTCAGAATCATGAGCCAGGTCTGTGTCCAAAAACTTCCTCTTCCTGTCAATCACAGGTCGCCCTCGACACTCCTCAGAGCGGGACTTCTGAAAGAGGCCCACAGTGAAAACGCGAATCTGGCCGACAGGTCCCAAGGGGTCCACGCTCTGAACCCACAAGGGAAAGATGCATAACTGAACAGGGAGGACAAAACAAACAGAAAGCTGCCTAAACTTACCCCTGGGACCATAAAAGGGACTTGCTGATCGTAAAATCCATCCATGATGCTTCCAGCGTCTCTAATGTCACTGTGAAAGGTTTCAGCATTGAGTACTTTCTGGGGGAAAAGAAATCCTCCAGTTACACGAATTTGTTAGTTTTAACTTGTGTGGGGGGCTGGGGAGAGCGGGGAGAGAAATAAAGCAATTTTAAGGCCTGTGCAAAACCATTCCACTTACGTGCTTAAAAGGCACGTGTATGGTTTGCCGGTCACTGGGAGGCTTGAGGAACAGGCACGCTTCAGACTAAAGCCATTTACTCACTCATCATTTGCTTTCTTCATTAGCAAGCCTCTACATTTGTCACTGCCTGTCCCTTACCCCAAAAAGATTTTAGCTCATTATAAAAGGGTGCCTTTCAAGATTCTCTTCTCCGAAAGATCCTCCAGGGTAGGGTTTTAAAAAGAGATAATTTAATTTCTGACAGCTCAGTGACAGGAAGTAGAAAAACTAGGTTTAAAGGATACCAAGTTATTGGCAATTAACAACCTGACATACATGGGGTTTCTAAAAGTCTTTTGTAGGTCAGTGGTAAAATGCTATACACAGTTCCAGGTGGAAATTCATCAGAGGTATGCTTCTCTTCACATACAAGTCTTTATTTAAAAACCCAAACCTTCTGCCCAAGCAGGTGTACTCTTGCAGTGTCTATAATGTCACAAATTATCTCCATGACAACTTAGTTTTCTGTGATATCAGCAACTTCCAAAAAAAAAATCAGAATGAAATATCTATAAAACATAATAAATGAAACTAAATTTTACTGCACATATTTCTAAGTGCAGGTCTACCAAAAATCATTAATAAAAATAAAAATAGGCAAACCTTAAAGCAAACCATCCCTGGCCATAGTTCAGGTTTGTTTCTTACAGTGAAGTCAATATTTCCAGACATATTAAAATAAATAAATTCATTTAGCACTGGGGGAAAAAAATGTTTAGCGCTGGGGGAAAAGACTGGAGTCCAAAGGGAGAGGAGAGAACTTTCTCTAATTTGGGAGTAATAAAGTAATAATTTTGTAAAAGTACCAGCTTTTAGACCCTGTTCTATTCTGCACATGAAAAAAAAAAATGGGAGAATGCGTTAATTCCACTCTCCCTAGCTCTAAGAAATGCAGAAGAGATAATTGCCTTTGTTTAACTTGCACACAGATTTTAAGCAGGGCATTTTTTTCTCAGTGGGCATTTCCATCCAATTTGTTTTTCATACTGTGTGGAGCATATCAAATTTTCAGGAGTGAGCAGGACCCGAGAAAATCCTTCACCGCCAGCCTCCTCCTCAGCACTTTGGTCCAAGTAATCAGATATTTTCAAAGTCAAGGGAAAGAGGAGCAAAATAGTACTCAGTGCCCAACTTCCAGGGGCAGTGTGCCCGGCTGCCTCACAAAGGACACAGAAAGCCTTCAGGATTTAAAGCCTCCTTCTCAGACGTCACCGACCAATATACAAAAATGTGAGAAACCTCAGGAGTGAGCGAAGGGGCATCAAATAAACAAGCAAAAAATCAGAATTGTGTCTCCTTCGGTGTAAAGCGGGGCAGGCACCCCCGCCCCCAGCAAAAGAATAGAAGGGAGACTCTGTCTCAACATGCATTACTTCACCCAGAAGGACGCAAATGTATTTTTAAAGATGTAAAGATTAAAAGAGAGGGGAAAGAAAAAGAAACCTGCCCTTAGGCAAACCAAAAAAAAAAAAAAAACAAAAACAAAAAAACACCAGCTTGGAGAATCATTTTTGGAAAGCGGAGTTCAAGGGCTAGCAACATTGTGCTCAAAGTATTTGTTTTCAACCCGAAGGGAAGGCTTGAGCCGGCGCCGGAGTTTCAACCACTTCCTTTGTGCCCCACCACACACACACCCCGCGCCCCCTCCCCGAGGGGCCCCCAGGAAAACTTTCACGCAGCTCTGCGCCGCGACCCAGCTCCTCCCCCGCGGCGCGCAGCGGCCCGGTTTTATGAATGGGAGAGCGAGCCGCGGCCGCCACCTCAGGTAGAGACTGTAACTGGATCCCTCGCTGCAGGGCCCCATTCACAAAACAAGACACACTTCCACCCGATTCCCAGCCTTCCCCATTCATGAAAACTCCTTCGGCGGCGCCCCCACCCCCACTCCCAACGCACGCCCAAGCCCAGCCTCCGACGCAGGCCCCCCTCACCCCTCAGCTTTTTTTTTTTTTGGAAAGAAACCTCAATGCTCCATTCACAAAAAAGAGAGAGAGGAAAAAAAAAAAAAAGGAAGAAACCGCAGGGAGCAGCGAGCCCACGAAAGAAACCCGCTTCATTCATAAAGTCGTCGACATTCACCAAACGAGGTGCCGCGAAGGCAACCCACCCAGCCCCTCACCTAAACCCACACCTCCCGCTCCCTCTCCCGCACCTCCTCCTCGACCGGCAGCTCGGTTCCCTCAGGGCCCCCTCCTCGGAAAACGCTGCCAGTCTCCCCAGCCAGCCCGAGCTCCGTCCCCTGCCCCCCACCTCGTCCCCCAGGCTGCTGTTCCGGGGCTCCCCGGATTTTGCTCCGGAGTCGCTGCGCAGCCCGACGCCCTCGGCTCCCGGAGGAAGGATGGGGGTGGGAGGGGGAGAGAGGGGGCTGGGTGTCCACTTTCCACAACCTGAAACTTGCAAGGCCTGCGCAAGTTCCTGGCCGACCCCCAGCGCCACCCCACCCCAAGGCTGCACCAGCCTGTGTCACCGACCCCTCTGGGTGTTCCGCGGGATGCGGTGGGGGGGACAGCGGCTCCCACAGACACCACCGCCACCCCCCTCCGACCGCGAGTGCCCCCTCCTCCCGACTGCACAGCTCCGCCGAGCGTCTCTTCTCGCGAGCCTCCATCCCCCTCGGGGCTCAGCTCTCCGGAGACCGCACGGCCCCGCAACTCGGCGCTCCCCCATCTCCACCCCGGAGCCCCCCGCACCTCGCGCTCCGGCGCGCCTTCCCCAGCGAGCTGCGGAACCGTTAGCCGCCCCCGCCCGACGCCTCCCAGGAACCGGACCGGGCCGGGCCGCAGAGAAGCGGGGTTCGGAGGCGGGGAGGGGAGGGGTGTCGCTCAGTCCCCGAGGGAATCACCTCAGACGTGCACCCCGACTTCGAGGGTCCCGAAACAACCCGCCAACTCCCGGCCAGCTGGGCTTTTCGGACGCGCTCTGGGATGCCTCCTCCGATGCGCCCCCCACCTCCTCCCCGCAACGCCCCCTCACCTGAGGCAGCCGCTCTCCTCCCCTTGCAGCGGCCCGGGCGGCGCAGGCGCGCTCACGCACGCGCGCACCGGGCCTGGGCGCCTAGGCGAATGGCAGAGCCGAACCGCTCGGGAGACTGAACCGCTCGGCACACCAGCGGCTGGACTCTGCGCCGCAGCTGCCAACCAGACTGGAGCCACTGGCCCGGCCCCCCACGGCCCACTGCTTCGCCGGCCGCCATTGGCCTGCGGCCCTAGCCCACCCTTGTTCCCATTGGCCCGAGGCCGTTCCCGCGGCTGTCCATCATCTCTTGTTTACCCTGTCTTCGGGCAAATCCAGCTGAACCGCCCCATCAACTCCGGCTCCCATTGGCCAACAAGTGGATGTCTCTCCACCCCGCTCCGGGGTCTGTTTTACATAATTTATGCACCGGGGGCCATTGGCCAATCAGCATCGAGTTGTTTATATAATGAATGTAAGGACGTTTTTCATTCATAAAAAACGCGACCTGAGGGGGAAGCTTAGCTGAGTCAGTGAAGCACTTAAAGGGGCCGAGGCCGGGCGGAGCCGCCGTTACTTCCCTTTCTCGCAGCTCTCCCGACTTTTTTTTTTCCTCCCTGTCTTTCCCCATTCACACCCTCGCTTCTCCCTCCAGCCACACCGAGGCCGGGATAGGGTCAACTGGCGCCAGACCCTCGCAGCTGCAAGTCACCCAGCAAAGTTGGGGTTTTAGAACCGGGCGAGAGGTACTGGTCATTCCGCACACACTGAAAACTCGCCCACAGGAACACGGGGCTCGGAAGCCTGCATGAGAAGCAAGCCTTCCGAGGGGCCTGCATGTCCAGGGGGGCCAATGCAAGCAGTAACTCTTCCCCCACGTCGGGGTCTGAGATTTTACTGACTGTCTCCTGCGGCCAAGGCCCAAGGCCCAAGCCAACCGTGCCGGCTCCGCCCCGGGTGGTTCTGGAGCCGCCGACCGGAGGGAGACTCCGTGGTGCCTCAGCCCACTGAGCAGCGGATCCCTCAGGCAGGCGCGGAGCTCCAGCGCCTGTCTTCGCTGGCTCGTTGGCCCGCAGCAGGACTGGATGCAAGATGGTGTTTGAGGGACTTAGGTCCCTGCAGCTGGGCAGCACGAGGGGCGGTTCTGCTGGCTCTCCACCCCCGGGCACCAAGTGCGGCCGCCGAGCTAATGAACTGGGTGTTCCAGAACACAAACAGCACCCTCCGCCCCTGCCTCCTCCCGCAGGATACGAGGGCTTGAGCCTTCCTGTGCTTGGTCCGCTGTCGTCGCGTGCCCGCGGCGGTGTGGAGCCAAGGCCCTTCGGAGCCTGGCGGGGAGCTTAGAAGTGGGGCCCGCCCCAAGCCTGTGGGTCTCTATCTATCTTTAAAAAAAAAAGAAAAGGAAGAAGAAAAGTGGACTAAAAGTCCAACTTGCCCTCCCCTTCCGTTTATAACTTAAATGGAGCCTGTGATTGCTCTGCTGCTTTTAGAATTGTCTACCTAGAGTCACGCTGAGACCTGGGCCCTGCCCTGCCCTGCCCTGCCCTGCCCTGACTCTGGATCTGGCAGTTCCTTGGTAGTTGATTCTGTCACCCTCGCCCTGTTCAGCACTCAGCTTCCAAATTGAGTTTCCCTTTAACGGCTCTCTTCAAGGCCCACTTGGCACCATTCCTGTCCCAGCAGCCGTGAGGGTTTGTCCTGGTTCAATGGTATTCTTACCTTGGTCTCAATGCCCAGTCAGCTGCAAAGTCCAGCTGGGCTCCCAGACCTCATCCCCAACAGCTTTGCCCACCCCCACCATCCCCACTCACTTCCTGCTCTCTAGTCCCATGTCTTACTTCTGCTCACCCAAGTCTTTCAGGTCCCAACTCCTCCAGGAGACTTGTGTGCCCTCACCCTGCA